ATTTTCTTTTCCTTCTTCATTGACTTGTGCCAATAATGCTCCCAAGGAATTTTCTTGTGCAACAATATAAAGGATCAATGGTCCCCCAAGAATGGGTGCAACCAGAACTAGAGGGTGAAAGAGGTATTCCTTAATGCTTTCAAAAGCATTTTGACATGCTTCATCCCATACAAATGGTGCATCCTTTTTCATTAACTTGCTAAATGGATGACACTGTCCAGTAAGGTTTGAAATGAACCTCCGTATGTAAGTCAGCTTGCCTTGGAGACTTTTTAGCTCTCGAAGATTTTTCGGGGGTGGCATGTTCACAATTGCTTCTATCTTGGATTGATCAATTTCAATGCCTCGATGCCTCACAATAAACCCCAGAAATTTGCCAGAGGAAACACCAAAGGCACATTTTAATGGATTCATTTTTAGATGATACTTACGAAGTCTCTCAAACACAACTTTCAAGTCATTGAGGTGGTCATCAAATCTCTTAGATTTAACAACCAAATATCATCAATAACATTTAACCAGCAACATGTCACTAAAAATCATTTGCATTGCACGCTGGTAAATGGCTCTGGCACTTTTCAACCCAAATGGCATAACTTTATAACAATAAATACCCTTTGGTGTTCGAAAAGTTGTAAGCTCCTCATCCTTAGGATCCATGCGAATTTGGTTGTAACTAGAGAATCCATCCATAAAGGACAAAACTTCATGCCACATGGTTGCATCCACCATAAGCGACAAAACTTCATGCCCCATGGTTGCATCCACCATAAGCTCTATGATCGGAAGCGGAAAATCATCTTTTGGCCATGCTTGGTTTAGATCACGAAAATCTACACATGCCCTGAGTTGTCTATTCTTTTTATGAACTGGAACAATGTTCGCAATCCAGGATGGATAATGGACCTCCCGAATGAAACCGGCTTCAATCAACTTATCAACCTTAGCTTCAATTTGTGGGATAAGGTTTGGACAAAAATGTCGTTGCAACTGCTTCACTGGGCATACCCTATGCTTCACGGCTAGACGATGAACAGCTACTTTTGAGTCTAAGCCTGGCATCTCTTTGTAAGACCATGCAACCACATCCTTGTACTCAGTAAGTAGTTGCACATATCTTACTTCTTCCTCCAAACTCAACGATGCACTAAGAAAAATGGGTCTTGGATCATCCTCTGTACCCAAGTTCCGTTGCTTTAGCTCGTCAGTAATAGCTTGTCCCCCCTCCTCAAAGGCTTCTAGGGCTGGATTTGGTTCTTCATCTGAAGAATCAAAGTTAGAAATTTTTTCAATTGAGACATGGTTTGATTCAACTGCCTTTACCTCCTGAACGGAAGGCTTTGAGATCTCTTGCCCATTAAGGACATCTTTACGCCTCCATTGATACTTCTTTCTTTGTAGAGACTTGTTCTTGTTTTTCTGAATTTTCTGACCCTTAGATGCTTTCTTGTTGTTCTGCTGCTTAGCACCAAGTCTAGAAAAGACTGAAGGCTTTTGAGAATGATTCTCTTGGATTGTCAATAGTGAAGGAGCAGGCCCTAGTCTTTCAAAAACTGACACTCGGATATTTTCTTGTTGAATCCTTTCCAGGGCTGAAACTTGTAGTTGTGGAGTCCCTTCAACCTCATTGGTTTCAAAAATCTGAATGGTTGTTGGATTTGTTGACTTCTTTTTTATCTTGATCTTTGCAGATTTAGATGATTGCAATCCAAGCACATGCCTTTACTTTGGCATAGGTTCTCCTCTCAATACGGCTTCCTTCCTAGTTTAGGTTGCTTGAGTACCTGTGAGGATAGAGTTCAAATCCCCAAGTTGCTGAGACTCTCCTTCTTTGAAGCCAGCCCTTTTTAGCAACATTTGAGCACGAGGATCAAACCATCTTTGAGGTTGCTTTTCATGTTCTATGGTTGTTTCAACCATTTCTTTTATGACTGGATTAGAAATGCCCAGTTTAGAGAGTGCAAACAATGGAAGCACAAAATCTTCCTTGAGCACCTTCACATCCTCTACTGAAAGATGAACTTCAAAACTTGAAAATGGATCTTTTATAGGGTGAACAACGATTTTTTCGTCATTCTTTTGCTTTATTTGTGGCATCTTGATAGGAAGAGCTTCAAAACCATCTTCTTCCTTTTCATAAAATTTGGCATCAGCAAAATGGGACTCTTCTTTTGTGAAAGGCTCTTTCTCAGCCATAACACATTTTGTTTTGCCATCAGAATGATATTTAAAACATTGATGCCAAGTTTGACAGAACCACCCCATTTTCATCAACCCATGTTCGTCTTAAAAGAAGCTCATATAATGTTTTAGCCTCTATGACATGGAGCAAAGCTAAGGTTGCCATATTTGCGATTTGGAAATTGATGCGGATCTTGCCAATTGCACGTTGGCCCTTTTGGTTAAAGCCTTGGATTAGGAGTTTACTGCTAGTCAATTCATCGATAGTTATCTCAATCTTCTTCATGATGTAAATTGGCATTATGTTAACAGCAGATCCATCATCAATCAAAATTCGATTCACTTTGTGGTCTCGAACAATACCACTCACATAAAGAGGCCTGTTATGTTTTTGGATTCCAAACTGCAAGTTTTCATCTGTGAAGGTTATTGTTCCTAAACACTCAGCCTTAGTTTTTGGCTTGGCCAGCTTGCCTTAGAACTTTTTTGGGTCTAACATAGCTTGTACAAGAGCAAGGCATGTATCCCATGAAAGCTGCAAGGCTTTGGATAATTGTAAATCAGATGGAAGTTGCTTCCATTTCTCTATACTTCCATCAACTTCGGGATCATTTGATTGGCTCTTGGAACCCTCAGCTTCTTCTTTAAATGATGGTTCGTTTTCTATCTTGAAACTTGTGATATTAACAGATACTTCCTCATCAGAAAAAATATCCCTCTCGAAAGTATTCATAAAGAGTAACTGCAACTCTTTCTTTTGAGTACATATCTTTCTCAAATATTGACTTTCTCTTCTTAAGAACTTGTCAAAGTTTTGTTTGTAAATCAGACCTCCTTTTCCTTACCTGACGTTGTTCTTGATTTTTTGGTGCAGCTGGCAAAGCTGAAAGAAATGAATAATTTTGTTGGATGGATGGTAGTGTGGTTCTTGAATGACGCCTCCTCCTTTGTGATTGAACTGGAATCCACCCATCATTATCATTGTAAAAGGCAGGAAACTCAGAGTTTGAACACCATCCAATTGGCTTTATCTCTGGATAGATACCATACATGATTTTATGAGGATCTGGGAGTGGCATTCCACTCGATACTGGATTACAGTGTTTTTTTCTCTTACTAATGAAGGTTGATCAACCATCGCCAACCTCATCTGCAGACTCAGATGATGATTCCCAATCTTCAAGATTCACCGTCATAAGGTCATATAAAGAAAGAGAGCTTGAACCTCCAAACATAGGCATGCTAGGATAAGCATAGGCTATCTTTTCTTCATCATCTGTTTGAAATTTAACTTGAATTGCCCCCTTGGGCAGATGGGGAGCAAACTCCTTAAGCTGAACCATTAGTGGGGTTGGTTGCACAGGCAAGAGTGGAACTGGACTAAAGGATCCAAAGGAAACCATGGCAACATTGGTGGCAGCGGAACCTTTTTCACTTTCTAGTTATATTTTGCCTTCTTTCTCAAGAGGAACTATCAGATCCTTCAACACAAAACACTTACCGATTGGATGACTCACAATTCGATGATACTTACAGTATTTTGGATCATTTACTCTCCCAACTTCCTCTGGGCACTTAAGAGCTGGAAGTTAAATTAGGTTTAGAGCCAACAATTGCTCAAAGAGAGCCAACACTTGCTCAAAGATAGCCCACACTTCAGAGTCTACAAATGGATACTCCTTTTGTTGCAACTCTTTCAATGTAGACTTCTTCTTTTGACCCTAATCCTCAACAATCTTGACACCTTGTTTAGGATTTGGCTTTGGCTTTTGTCGTGAGATCTTCACAGGCACTGTTATGACTGCCATAGTTTCTTTTGCTTTTAAAGGTTTCACTTCCTTCTTCACATCTTTTCGAGACTCTTTTTTATCACAAGTGTCTGTTGGAAGAAAGTTATCATGCCTAGCAATTTGAATTTCTAGGTCATGGGCACGAGTGGCCAATTCTTCAAAGGTATGTGGCATGTTAGCTTGAAGGTTATCAAACAATCCCTAATGCATACCTTGCACACACATTTCAATAGAAGAGATCTTACTAATCTTTTCTCGACAATTTAGGACAAGATACCTCCATCTTTCAATGAAGGCTGTCACAGACTCATCTTTCTTTTGCTTGGTGTTAGCAAGCTCAGGCAGGCTAACAGTACGCTTGGTACTGTAAAACATGTCAAGAATTCTCGTTCTAACTGGTCCCAACTATCCACTAACCCGGCAGGAAGGTCAATGTACCATTCAAAGGCTGCGTCCTCCAAGGACTGGACAAACTGTTTCACCATGAGGTCTCCATAGGTGCCAACATTGTTGCATGTTTCGACAAAATGGGCGACGTGTTGCCTTGGGTTGCCTTTCCCATTGAACTTTTGGAATTTTGGTGGCTGGTAGCCGTCTGGTAGGCTTAGATTATCAATCCTACGAGTATAGGGCTTGGCATACATAAGTGAGGATTGTGAGTTCCCTCCTTGCCGAGCTCGAATCACATCATCAACTAAAAGTTTAAGTTGTGGAAATGTAAGAGATGCCACAGTAGCATGAGTAGGGTCACGGAAAGCACCTTGGAGAATTGTTCGATCTAGTTGCCTTTGCTTTTGTTGCTCCAAGCTTTCCTCCGTAGTGACTTTCTTACCTCGATCTGAAGTCCTTAATGAGTCTTCCTTGTTTTCGAGGGCTTTTTTAGTGACTGAGCTTGATGCTACTTGGTTATTCTGTTTTGATAAGTGTTGAGCCGCTAAGAGTTCTTAAAGTTCCTTGATTTGGGCATCCTTTTCAACCACAACTTTCCTTTAGCCTTCCACAGCCTTGAGGAGAGCATCTGGGTCACCGGATGTCGCTTCAGTAACCAAGGCAGGTAAGAGGGACTCAAACGATGATGAAGGATTGTCAGCCCACCTTAACTTCGAAGCAGACCCATGACTGGGCTTGAGACTTAGTTCTTCACCTTCACTAGATTCTGAAGAGAAGTACTCAACATCCTTCACAGGCTGGAAAGGCGACTGGATGGCTAATGATTGTTTTTTCATTGCAGCCTCCTTACGACGTCTTCTAGTGAATTGCCTCAAGGGGGAGACCAACTTGGATCTCGTCATGCGCGCTTTGGCACGAGTCAGCAAGGAAGATTGATTGGAAAAGATTTGAACTTTTCGAGTTGTAAGAGGAGTTATAGCTTGCTTTGAGTCCGCCATACCTAGAAAGATATGGTGGAATTTTTCTTCAACTGAAAGATGAGAGGCAGAGATTTCCCCAGTGGAGTCGCCAAAGATGTGTGGTCACAAAAATTTGAAAAATCAAATAATATGTATTGATTTGCAAAATAAATACAAATTATTATAAACTTGAAGAAAAATGGGAAACAATCTCTGATTTGGAGTGCTGCAGTGCACGTGCTTGGGGTTTGAAGAGTAACACGTCTTAGAGCAGCATGATCCTCTGATTAACAGTTGAATTTTAGAAGGGCAAGGGCTTAAGCTTTTTCTTGTCCTTCAAGGGATTTAAGACTTGCACTTGAAACTTTTCCTCCTTGACATGGATTTGGAGCTTACCCTTGGCAAGAGGTTGAGGTTGAAGGGCAAGGGCTTAAGCTTGTTCTTGTCATTCAAGGGATTTAAGACTTGCACTTGAAACTTTTCCTCCTTGACATGGATTTGGAGCTTACCCTTGGCAGGAGGCTGAGGCTTGAAACTTCGAGAATTGTTAAGGGAGCTTGAAGCTTGTTGTTCCTCTCCTTTTCTCCTTTTTCCTTCTTCCTCTCTTTTCTTTTCTCCTCATCAAATGATGGCCTATTTATAGGCAAAGGAATTTTGCCAAATGACCTCAAATACCTTTCACTTTAAGGATAATTGGTCATTTTAATATATTTATTTATTATTTTTTAAAATTAAAGAGAAAATATCTCTTTAAAGATTTATTACCCTAACTTTCAAGATTTTTACTAAGATAAATATATTTTAATTTTGACTCTTTTTTTTAATGCCTACAGTTGGATCACTAGATGTTTCGGGGTTGCGTGTGGTTCTTCAAGGAATATATATAGTGTTCAAAATTATTTTATTTTAAATATTGTTTGATATCCAGTATTGTTTCGTTTTTCTTTTTGGTTAAACCCCATTTTGGTCCTTCAACTATTGTACGGACCCCCAACTTAGTCCTTCAACTCAAAAAGTCTTTGATTTGGTCCTTACTGTTTACCATATTTACCCCAATTTAGTCCCTCCGTTAAAAATTCCAATGACGTGTCCTATTAATTAACTAAAGCATGATGATGTGTCAAAATAGAATGACACCTCATATGCACACCTGTAAAAAAAAGATGACATGGTAGTATGATTCGGACCCAAAACCAAAAAAAAAAAAAAAATGGACCCCACCTCCTGCAAAGCCTGAACCCTTCTCCCCCTTTCTTCCCATTCGAACCTAGAACAACATAACTCTCTCAATTCCTCAGCAAGAATCCACAGAAAAAAAAATGAAAAAAAAAAGAGAAATTTTTTTATTTTTCCCAATTCCCAATTCCTCATCTTGCCTTGCCTTCTTCATCAATCAATTCCTTCATCAATTAATTCTTCATCATCATGAAACAACAAGATCCACAAAAAAAAAAAAAAAAGAATTTTTTTTTACTTTTTGCTCTTGGGTTCATTCCAACCCAGGAAGCCAGGTGTCCTCTGTTCGAACGAACCTAGGAGGATGCCTAGGTTTGTCCTCCTGGGTTCGTTCAAACCCAGGCGGCGTCCTGGATTCATTCGAACCTAGGTGTCCTCCTGCGTTCGAAAGAACCCATTAAGCGTTGGGTTCCAAGGGG